GAGAAAATATTTTGAGCTCTCAATTCCTTGGATGCTAATTGGCTATGAAGAGAATCTACCGATCGAACCGTTTAAGGATTATCCTGTCGATTATATTTGGACTAAAAACTTTCAGTATGATAATAATAATGGTAATCCCCAGACAATTAAACATCCACATTTAAATTTTGATGAATATTGCTGGTTAGGAACTTGCACTTTAAGATGTGAAGATAATCCTGCATATAATTTTGGGCAATCTAATGATTTTATTAGTTATCATTTCCGTAATAATGCAGCAAATAATGCTACACAAATATGTTGCTATCAATATGATCTCCAAAATAATCAAATTAGCAATACATTAAGATTTAAGACTAATTGTGCCATTATATCAGATACTCCAGATTTCGAAGTTGTCAACCCAGTCAATCATGAGTGGAAATATAGACCATGTAGACTACAATACCTATTAAGAAATAGCCGTACCTTTACTGGAAACAAATGGCAATTGCGTGAGCTTCCAAAAGCTATATTTGCAAGTATCCATTATTCAGATTTTCAAGGCAATCCTCTTCTTTTAAACATTCATAAGAAATATCCTATTGTCAAAACTCTAAATAATGTAACTGAAAATCTTAATGCTTTGGTTGGTTATGTTACGGTAGTTAAATAAAGTTGTTGATAATATACAAACAAGCTCGTGAAATTATCTCAGCTATTTTTGAAATTGATATTGAATTAATCATTGCGATTAATTTTGCCAGCATTTCTAGTCTGCAAAAGATTTATTTCATAGTTTATATTTAAATTACTGTACTCCTCGAATATTCGTAATTTAGTACGCTTTAACATAACAACATATTTATTCTAAGCCATTATTTAAAATAAATTATCACATTACGTAAATATCTTAAATTACAATACTTTCAAGATTTATGATTAAATATACAAATTCAATATGTTTAGTACAATATATTTTTTTTAATATCCTTATCTATATTTAACTATATTGTCAATATTTTTCACAATAAAAAGTATTTTCAAAGCTTAGAATCCCTTAAATCAGTACATTGAAATTTTTAATGTTTTCTTACAATATTGTAATTCTGTACATGGCCATTATGTCATAGCCAATATTGAATATTCTGTAATCCCATAGCGGTGATAATATGTGAAGTTATTTAGTGAACCGTACAAAATATTATTAGATATACTGCAAATCTAAAATCTCTGAGGTTATGTAAGGTTGACGACCCTTATATTAGTGAAACGTTCATGTATATATCCGTGTAGTATCAGCTTTCTGGATTTTGCTTAGCCATGAAATTCAGTGAAGCGCAGCGAAGGGTCATATACTAGTACCATTTAAATCCTGTTTGAAGTTTGCGTGCGATATCTAATCACCAGGTTCTGAAGCTTACTAATCAAGTTATGATTTTAAACTCTTCCATGATCAGATTGTAGAAAATCAGTTAGAAACTATTACATGGTCAAATCGTATATAGATTAACCTCAGAGGAAGAAAAATAAAATAATTTGCCCTTGATAATTATCTTGGAATAATGAATGGCATCTATTTTTTTAAATCTCAACAATTATTTATGTCAGAGTTACTTTATTAAATATTGTCGTGCTGTAATGTTTTAAATAAAATCATATAAAAATTTAAAATATAATCTATATGATTAATATGTTAGTTTTATTTAAAATTTACCTGAAATACAGATTAAATAACTTTTAAATAAGATATACTACTAATTGCAAGAAGATATAATTCAATTTTTTAAAGTTAAAAATAAAAATAAAAATATATACAGTACAAAAACACTACATAGCATCTCTGTAATGGCATTTATATATAGTACAGAACGGCATAAAATTTCCGTTTATAAAAATTATTAAAGATAATGATTTTAAAAGAATTCTTTCTATTTTAGTTTTGGCAAGATTTAAGGATTTAAATATTGCCTATATTATTTAGTAGTTTAAATGATTACACTAGTAAAATTCAATTATTTTGTATCACACGAAGTGGGCCAATCAAAATTAACTATGTGAGATTATTATAGTAGATTTCTAAAT